AGAAAATGGACAAGAAAGGCCTCTGTTCTGAGACTATACAATGTCCTTAAAACCACAAAGTGGGCCCTCTGCTGGTTTCTTTTTTAAATAAAGTTTTATTAGAACACAGCTACACCCATTCATTTGTGTATTTCCCATGCATGTTTCTGGGCAGAGTTGAAACCCTACAGAGATCTTACCTGCAAAGAAGAGATCTGGCTTCTTTGCATTTCCCAAAAACACTGTGGTGTACTCCTTTTTGATTATTTTCTAACAAGACAAACCCTGGCCTAAAGGACAGACAGTCCCTTTTTTAAGGAAAGGTCTCTGTGTAGCTTAGGCTAGTTTCTAACTCAGCATCCTCCTGCCTCATCCTCCTGAATACTGAAATTAAAAGTATGTGCCACCATATCCAACCCGTTTTCAGGTGATGGACTGACAAGTGTGCCTGCATTGCCGTCCTTACCAGGCCAAGTCACCTCACTTATTCACACCTCTGTGGTGTCCATGCATAATCAGCTCCCCTGGCTGCCTCACATGGCACAGGAAGCTCCGGCAGAGAGGTTGACAATTTGTTCAATGTTGCACAGCAGGGTGAGACAAATCATTCAGCTTCCAAGTCACAGGGGGCTGGTTAGTTCAGCACTATTGGACTTGATAGTTCCACAGAGCCAGCTCTGCCAATAGACAGGTGCGTCCATACTTCCTGTTAAAATAAAGGTCCTTCTCCAGAGTATTAATTAGGGCCTCACATCTCAGAACTTCTGTTACCTCCAGCCGAGAAGTGGGGATTTCCCCCTTCAAAGCTCAGCTCATAAGCTTCCTGGAACTCTCTCATTTCCAACAATCAATACAGCAAAGCACTCAGAAAAACGTTAGGTAAAGGTGCCAGGCCACAGTACAGAAGGAAGGGGGTTCCTGAATGTCCAGTGAAGTGCACTTAAGCACATTTGTGGGTTCATGTCATCCCGATGAGGAGGCTTTGGTTTGCCTCAAGTATGACTTCATCTTCTGGGAGCCTCCATGCCCATGTCCTGCATAAACTCACTCCTCTAATTCACCTGTGGAGTCCTGGTCCCATCCCTCTGACTGTCCTTCTCTTCTGTCCTCAGGCCAAGGTACCAACTACTTCCCTCTCCTGACTTACTCAAGTATGAGACATTTCACCAGAGGCTGCTGGTGTTTTTCCTTCACCAGTTATAACCATCCACCCCAGGGTCCTACTATCCCCCAGGAGTGTCTAGAACTAGGCTTTCCACAGACTAGTCGTCTTTGATTTTGTTAAACCCTCCCGGTCTCAGAATCAACACCAATGGCTCTTCCTGCAGTTCCTCTGGCTACCTGCAGTTCCTGCCTGGAGCAACTGTGCCAAAGACAGGTGAAAGGTATGTGCCAGAGCCAGCCGTGGAGACGACTGTCAGGGCCGTGTGAGATCATTGACTTCTCTGAGGGTCCTTGGGTCAACATATTTGAGGATTGATACTCTAATTATGGATTTAGGGACCAATGACAGGCTAAATTGACTTTTTAATTTACCTTAAGAGGAAATTGGGAATATAATTTTGGTGCTGTCTAAAATACTTGTCATTTTTAAAAGGAATCCTTAATGTGTACTTTCTTACATGCCACATTTTTATTTTATTTATTTATCTGTTTGTTTGTTTATTTGGTTTTTCAAGAAAAGTTTCTCTGTGTAGCCCTGGCTGTCCTGGAACTCACTCTGTAGACCAGGCTGGCCTCAAACTCTGAGATCCTCCTGCCTCTGCCTCCAGAGTGCTGGGATTAAAGGTGTGCACCACCACCACACCACCACATTTTCTTTTGATTCCTTCTTTTAGCTGTGTGATGTGACAGTGTTTATAAACCATTTTAAAGTTTAGAAAAGAAACCACCAGGATTATTCTTCCTCTAAACTAGCAGTTTTTAGACTCCATTAAGTCAACAGAATCTTGTCATTAAAGAAAATGTTAACAGACACCCCTTTTTAAAAAATTGAGTTTGGGGGGAGTAAGTAACCCCAAAATATTTCTACAGTGCCTACGTGTGGTAGCGAACACTAATACTTACAATAAAACTACATTTTGTCACATCTAAGACACCAGCTATCATCAAGACATACCATGGGGACTGGAGAGTTGGCTCAGAAGTTGAGACACATAGTGCTTTTCTAGAGGTCTGGGCTCAGTTCCCAGAACCCGCATCAGGTAGCTTCAGGGGTCCTGATGCCTCTGACCTCCTTGGGCACTCAAGTACATGTGCACGTACCCACACACATACTTACACATATACATGTAATTAAAAGTAGAAATTTAAACGGTATACTGAATAACATGAAGGAAAGAAAACATTCTGTGCTAAACCTATAGCATGCCACTGTTACAAGACTCAACTAAAGTGAATTCATTAATCATTGTATGTGTATTTATTTTTACTACATAACTCATCATCAATCCATTTTAGAATATGACCCCTATATAACTGGAATTGGTGATTTGTAATAACATAAATAAATGTGAGTATAAATCAGGTTTGATTCATATGATCTACATGAAAGTTAACTTAAGGGCTCATTAGCAACAGTTTCTGGTATTCACTGCACACTACTGAGTATAATGGCAATTGAGAGATTTACCTGGACACTCTTCTATGTCTTAACAGTCCCATTCATGAACTGCTAGCCAGGCACAGTGTGGGGTGCTGTACAGTGCTGTCACAGGTGATTCAGATACACAGAAAACGTGAGAAACCATTTTTTAATTTCTTTATTCATGTAAGTGTACCCGTGCATACCTGGTCATCAGATCCCCTGGAACTGAAGTCACAGGCGGTTGTGAGCCACCTTGTGGGTGCTGCGAACGGAACTCAAGTCCTCTACGAGAGAGGAAAGTGCTCTTAACTGCTGAGCCATTTCTCATTTTCATAAGGTCCAGTCACCTGGAACCGTTTTAGAGTCTTAGGAAACCTTAGATGGAAACCGCGGTTGGAGAAAGAGTCAAATGTCAGCGTCACCAAGGAAGGAAACGAGTCTGCACAAAGAACAATGCCATACTTCTCTGTCAGAACAATCCAGTCCTGTGGGTGCTTAAGGAGACCTCACAAAAGCACGGGCCCCTCCCTGCTGGGGGCGTGGCTAATCGCTTCCATCGGCCAACCCTGGGCCCAAAGCCAGGCTGCTCCAGACCTGCCCTAACTCACAATCTCCTAAAAGAGTGTGTCCCCTGGCTCTGCCCGGAGAATCAGAAACAAATCTGCCAGGTGGTGGTGCTGCTCTCAGCACTTGGGAGGCAGAGGCAGAGGCAGAGGCAGGTGGATCTCTCTGCAAATTTGAATCTAACCTGGTTTATGGGGAGAGTTCCAAGACAGCCAGGGCTACACAGAAACATTGTCTAAAAAAAAAAAAGGAAGAAACTGAGTGAGGTCTAGCCCCAAGTAAATCATCCCTAAGACATTTTATATAAAGAGATATAATTTCATCATGGTAAAAAAATTTTTTGAAAACCCAATCCATTATCCCCAACAGAACCAAACCACACACAGATCAAGGTGATTTTAAACGCACCATAGCTTCCATTTCTTTTCTTATAAACAAGACTTAATGATATTTCCCTTCAAGAAGTGTCAGAGCCAGGACTTTTATTTAAAATGTAGGACTTCATAAAATTAAACAGCTTCTGCCCAGCTAAGGAATAATCAACCAGGTCAAGAGGAAACCCACAGAGTGGCAGAGAACCTTTGTCAATCATACACCTGACAGAGGGTTATTACTCAGAATATACAAACAAAAATGCTCCTTCTGAGAGTCAAAGGCCACCTAACCGTAACCCCAGCAGCACCAGGCGTGAGAAGCCCTGTTTTGAGATGTTGGGCAAGGTTGTCTAAAAAGACTCCCAGAACGACATAGACTATTCCTATTGCTCTTGGTTGCCCCCAGAGGTGGAAGTGAAGGTCTTATTACTGAAGACACATGCACTTCAGACACAGTGCCCCAAGACCCCTGAACCAAAACTGACTGGAAGCCCCTCCCTGAAGCCTGTCTAATTGGACTGAGGAACTGCTCAACAAGAAGGAAAGCATGTCTAGTGCAGGAAGCCTAAGCCACCTTCCAGGGCTGGTGAAGTCATGGGTACTGACCCACAACTTCACTAAATTACCATAGCGCCTAACTACAATTCTCTGTATCTGTCCTCATAACCACAGGTAAGAATAGTCTTCACCCCTTATCAAGAAAATTCCTCTTATCCAGGCAGTGGTGACACACACCTTTTATCTCAGTACTGGGGAGGCAGAGGCAGAGGGATTTCTCAAGTGTTCAAGGCCAGCCTGGTCTACAAAGTTCCAGTACAGTCAGAGACCCTGTCTCAAAAAACCGAGAAGGGGGGGGGAGAGGAAAAAAAGAAAATTCCTCTTTACAATCAACGTTGACCATTACTGAAAACCACAACCAAACAAAATACAGAGTTGTGGAGCACTGGCTGTACCTAAGACTTGGGAAACATTGCAGAAGATGGGATGGAAAGATTTTGAGCCACGGGATCAGGGAGTTTGCCTTGCAATTGTGTCTCTTAGTAATGGCAGGACACACCCATAAAGTCTTACCAACATGACAGCCTAAACGTGAGCTGAACAAAGACAATGATAGTAGACATGCTAAAGTTTTCACGGAAAACCCCAGGGCCTCTACCCATACACAAAAAAACTACAGACAACTAAGGGACGCAGAGAGAAAGAGAAACAATTTTCCCCAGGGTAGGACATACCAGTTGTTTATTCAATGCCAGATACTCAGTCCTGAAAACATACAAGCAAGAACATTATACAGACTGAGCAGGTTATATTTAGGAACATATATATGTACATACATATGTGCTTATAACAGCAGTTAATGAAAAGAGAGGCCATAAATTTCAAAGAGAGCAAAGAGGGAGTGTTTAGAGGAAGAAGGGGAGAGGAGGAAATGATGTGATTACATTATAAACGCAAAAGTAAATAACAAAAAAAAGTTTTTTTCAGAGAAAACTTACTGGCCACCACACCATACTTCGGCCTGCGAGGAAGAAGCCTCCAACAGTCCCACGATTAGTGGAAAACATCGCCTGAGGGAGAGAGGATCAAAAATTTAACAGGAAACTAGAAGAGTGACTTTGTCAATAAATGACCATACCCCCCTAATGGGCCCTTTCTTGTATCCATTCCACTCTATGACGAACTTTTCATTCCTTATCTGCCCCTCCCACCCCAGCCTCAGCAGGCTCGCATGTAGGTGCTCGTAAATACTCATATTTGACAGACAGGGAAACTGCAGCCCTGGAACCAGCTCTGCAGTTAGCCTACCAAGCGGCTTTTGAGCAAGTCACCCACGCCCAGCCCTGTTCACTTGTTTTGTTTGCGTGCCAAACAGGGGGAATGGGATGTTTTTGTGTTTCTTACATGCACACCAAGATGTAATAAAATACCATATCTTTAAAAAGCACTAAAGGGTATGCAAATTATATCTCAATAAAGCTGTTAAGAAAAAAAATTAAGATGGAAGAATCCAAAGTGCTAACATGTAGTCTTATTTAAAAGACAAGATATCCCAGCTCAATCAACTCTTTTCTCTCTGAATATACATAGGAGCTCGCTAAGGTCATTAATTTGCAATATACTGTGACTGAGTTCAGAGGGCATGAGGAGAGGCCTTCTAATGGCAAGAAGTACTTTACATAGAGGCGAGTTTCCTGAGTCCTGAAGGAAAGGTGGGGTTCTGCTAATCTGGGGGGGGCATGGAGGAGAGGGGGGAGTTCTCAGACTTCAGGGACAGCAGATCAAGGTTGAGGTGGGGCGGCACCCAGGGTGTGGAGAAGGGGTGGCAAATGATGCCAGCTGTGGAACCTGGCTGAGGCACCACAGTGTGGGCAGGGTGAAAGGGAGACAGAATTAAGGCTCTTGAATGCCAGGCCAAAGAGCACAGGCTTTATTCACAGACCCGGAGAGCCACTGAAGGTTTGGGAGTTGGCAAATGACCTATATCCCCAATTCCAGAGCAGCCTCTCCCACAGTTCCTCTGGAATTGCCACCTCTGAACCCGCAGTCATTCCTGGCACAGCCTTTGGCTCAGGGCCGTAGGCTTGGCTTCTAGGTCTCTTCCTCCTCTCTTTCTCAACCACTGCCCCCTTTGTCCAGACACTTGTTAATGACTGATGGTGGCTCTGCTCTTATCAGTGGTGCAAAGGAATGAACCTCTGATGTCATTCCTGCACAAGCATGTCTGCAACAGGTACATACTTATAGGTGTGCAGACTGCATGGGGGGGGGATTGGAGTCTTTTTGGTACGGAAGGCGTTTATGCATCCAGTCAATCAGCAAAGATGTGTTGAGCACCTCTGTGTGTCGGGAAGTACCAGCTAGAGCACTCAAGTCTTTCTCGACTCCTGCCGGGGTCCCTTCTCCCACCAGTCATTCTCTGAAGACTTGGTGGTGGTCTTTCTGGGACTAGCAAGATGGCAAACAGACCCAAGGAGCAGAGAAGTTAGCTGACACTGAAATGGAAATAAATACTAAAGATTTAGGCTCTAGAAATTAACTGGGAAAGATCACTGTGAAGATAATTCTGAAGTTAGAAACCAAGGAACGGAGCTCAAACCCAACAACGATGAGACCGGACATCACCACCTTGAATTACAATAATGCCAAACCCAGATGCCAACACACCAGTGTAAAACACAGCAGCAACCAGGGTGACCTGTCTCCACTATAGCACAGCAACCCCACCACAGGAGGCCTGAGAAGTCTATATAGCAGAAGCACAAGACGAAGATCTCAAATGAGAGATCTGGGATATGTTAGAGATACTTGAAGAAAAAAATGAGTAAATACATTAATGAAAACACAAAAAGTGGAGTGAAATGAAGAAAATAGTTCAAGACTCACAAGTGGATAAAAACAATAAAGAAGATCCAAACTGAGGGAAAACTGGAAATGAAAAACACAGGAACTCAAATAGGAAATGCAGAGGCAACTCTGGCCAACAGACTGCAAAAGATGGAGAGAGAATCTCAGGCATTGAAGACAAGGTAGAAGAAATGGACACCTGGGTCAAAGGAAATGTTAAACCTTTAAAAATCCAGGCAAAAAGTATCCAGGAAATCTGGGACACTATGAAAAGATCAAACCTATAAACAATAGGAATAGAAGAAGGAGAAAAAACCCAGTCAAAGACACAGAAAATATTTTCAACAAAATCATAGAAGACAATTTCCCTAACCTAAAGAAGGTGATGCCTGTCAAGGTACAAGAATCATACAGAACACTAAATAGACCAAACCAGAAAAATAAATTCCCCTTGGCTCTTAATAATCAAAACACTAAACATACAGAACAAAGAAAGAATATTAAAAGCTGTAATGGAAAAGACAACATAACACATAAAGGCAGACCTATTAGAATGACACTTGACTTCTTGATGGAGACTCTAAAAGCCATAAAGGCCTGGGTGGTGTTAAGCAAACTTGAAGAGAGCATAGATGCCCGCTGGCTATTATAGATAGCAAAACACTAAATCACAATAGATGGAGAAAGAAAGATGTTCCATGGTAAAGCCATATTTAAGCAGTATCTATCTACAAATCCAGCACTACAGAAGGAGCCAGAAAGAAAACTTCAACCCGAAGAAGCTAACCACATCCAAGAAAACACAAGGAAAAACCCCAACCACAACAACAAAATAATGGGAACCAACAAACACTGCTCATGGATAACTCTCAACATCTATGGTCTCAATTCTCCACCTGAAGGACACAGACTAACAGAATGGATGCAAAAAACGGGATCTATCCTTCTGCTGAATCCAAGAAATATACCTTAACATCAAGGATAGACATCTCATAGTGAAAAGCTGGAAAAATATATTCCAAGCAAATGGACCTAGAAACAAGCTAATGCGGCCATTTTAATATCTGACAAAGCAGACTTCAAACCACAACTAATCAGAATAGATAGGGAAGAACACTACATACTCATCAAAGAAAAAATCAAAGAGGAACACTTCTACAGCTTAAATCACATAGTGACCTCATACACTGATAGTGGGAGACTTCAATACCCCATTCTCACCAACAGATAGATCATCCAGACAAAAACTACACAGAAAAATTTTAGATCTAACTGACATCATAAGCCAAAGGGACCTAGAAGATATTCCCACATTTCACCCAAACACAAAAGAACATACTTTCTTCTCAGCCGCTCCAGGGAACTTTCTCCAAAATTGACCACATACTTGGACACAGAGGAAGACACAAAAGATACAAGAAATTTGAAATAAGTCCCTACATCCTATCTGGTCATTACAAATTAAAGCTGGATATCAACAACAACAGAAATCTTACAAACTCATGGAAACTGAAGAACTCACTAATAAAAGAAAAATGGGTCAAGACAGAAGTTAAGAAACAAATTAAAGACTTTCTAGAATTGAATGAAAGAGAAAACACAACATATGGGAAACAATGAAACCGTTCTAAGAAAAAAGTTCATAGCACTAAGTGCCTACATAAAAAATTGAAGAGATCTTTGTGACTTAATAGCACACCTGAAAACTCCACAACACACAAAATAAATCACACCCAAGAGAAGTAGAAGGCAAAAATAATCATCATGATTGAAATCAATGAAACAGAAAAAATATAATCAAGAGTTAATTCTTTGAGAAAATCAATATAATTGACAAATTCTGAACCAAATTAACTAAAGGTGGAGAGAGAAAACCCAAATTAACAAAATTATAGGCAAAAAGGGCAACATAACAATAGACATCTGGGAAATCCAGAGAACCATAAAGACATACTTTAAAAACATGCACTCCACCAAATTGGAAAATATATATAATTTTCCTGATATATACCATTACCAAGATTAAATCAAGATCAGATAAAAATTTAAACATACTTATAAGCCCTAATGAAATGGAAGCAATAATGAAAAGTTTCCCAACCAGATAAATAAATAAATAAGAAAGAAAGAAAAGCCCAGGGATAGATGGTGTCAGTGCAGAAATTTACCAGACTTTCAAAGAAGAGTTGATGTCAGTACTCCTCAAATAATTCCATGAAATAGAAACAGAAGGAATATTACCCAATTAAGTTTATGAAGTCACAGTTACCCTGATACCCAAACCATATAAAAACCCAACAAAGAAGATAACTATAAACTAATGTCCTCATGAACATAGATGCAAAGATTCTCAATAAAATACTTGTAAACTAAATCCAAGAATACATCAAAAAAATCATCCACCATGATCAACTAAACTTCATATCAGAGATGCAGGGATAGTTCAACATATGAAAATCTACAAATGTAATCCACCATATAAAGAGACTGAAATACAAAAATCACATGATCATTGCATTAGATGCAGAAAAGGCCTTTGGCAAAATCCAACACCCCTTCATGATAAAAGTCCTAAAGAGATTAAGGATTCAAGGGACATACCTCTACATAATAAAGATAAGACCATAGCCAACATCATCAACTCAAATGGAGAGAAACTCAAATCAATTTCACTAAAATCAGGAATGAGACAAGGTTATGCACTCTCTCCGCATCTATTCAATATAGTACTTGAAGTCTTAGCTAGAGAAACTAAAAGAGATGAAGGGGATACAAATAATAAAGGTAGAAGTCAAAGTATCTGTAAGTGTAAAGATATGATAGTGTGTATAAGTGACCCTAAATATCCCACCAGGAAACTCCTACATCTGATAAACACTTTCAGAATAGTAGCAGAATACAAAATTAACACACAAAAATCAGTATCCTTCCTATATACAAATGATAAAAGGACTGAGAAAGAAATCAGTTAAATAACACATATCACAATAGCCTCAAATAATATAAAATATAAAAATTACCGGCCGGGCGCTGGTGGCGCATGCCTTTAATCCCAGCACTCGGGAGGCAGAGGCAGGCGGATCTCCGTGAGTTCGAGGCCAGCCTGGTCTACAGAGCAAGTTCCAGGACAGCCTCCAAAACAATACAGAGAAACCCTGTCTCAAAAAAAACAAAAACAAAAAAAGAAAAACAAGCAAGTGAAAGACTTGTATGGTAAAAAATT